TGACAGTATATTTTGCAGAGCAGAAGTTTTCTGTTTTAATGAAGTTCAAGTTATTATTTCTTTCATGGATCATGCCTCTGGTGTTCTATCTAAAATGTCATCAACATACCCAAGGTCATGTAAATTTTCTCTTACATTATCTTCCAGGAATTATAGTTATGCATTTTGGTCTATGATCCTAGTCTGTGGCTTGTCTTCTCATTTACTTGACAGTATATTTTGCAGAGCAGAAGTTTTCTGTTTTAATGAAGTTCAAGTTATTATTTCTTTCATGGATCATGCCTCTGGTGTTCTATCTAAAATGTCATCAACATACCCAAGGTCATGTAAATTTTCTCTTACATTATCTTCCAGGAATTATAGTTATGCATTTTGGTCTATGATCCATTTTGAATTAATTTTTGTGAAGGGTGTCTGTGTTTAGACTCATTTTTTTTTTTGCATACAGATGTCCAGTCATTCCAACACCACTTGTGTGTATGTCTTTTCTCCATTGTGTTGCCTTTGCTCGTCTGTCAAAGATCAGTTATGTGGGTATATCTCTCGGCTATGGTCCATGGATCTATATGTCCATTCTTTTGCCAATACCACATTGCCTTGATTACTGTAGCTTTATACAGTAAGCCTTGTAGTCAAGTACTGTCAGTCCTCAATGCTCTTCTCCTTTAATATTATGTTGGCTATTCTGGGCATTTTGCCTCTCTACATAAACTTTAAAATCTGTTTGTGTATATCCACAAAAAACTTGCTGGGATTTTGATTGGCATTGCATTGAACCTATAGGTCAAGTTGGGAAGAACTGATATCTTGACAATACTGAGTCTTCCTATCTATGAACATGGAGTATCTCTCCATTTACTTAGTTAAGTTGTGAGTTCTTTCAGCAGAATTTTGTAGTTTTCCCCATATGGATATTTTGTTAGATTTATACCTAAGTGTTTTTCTTTTTTGGGTGCTAATGTAAAAGGTAATGTGTGTTTGAAATATCAAATTCCAGGGAATTCCCTGGCGGTCCAGTGGTTAGGACTCTGTGCTCTCACTGCTGAGGGCCTGGGTTCAATCCCTGGTTGGGGAACTAAGATCCCACAAGCCATGCAGTGCCGCCCCCCCCCAAAAAAATCAAATTCCACTGCTTATTGCTGGTTTATAGGAAAGTGATTAGCTTTTGTATATTCAACTTGTATCCTGCAACTTTGATATAATTGTTTATTAGTATCAGAAGGGTGTTTTTTGTTAATTGTTTCAGATTTTCTACATAGACACTCATTCTAATGGCTTTTTAGCTATACCTCTTTGCACCATTTTTTTTTAGTGATTGCTCTAGGCTTTAAAATATATATACCCTTAATCTTTTACAGTGTACTTAGGGTTTATACCTTACCACTTCATATAAAATGTACAGCTCCATTCATCCTCAAGATTACTTATTCTATAGTTACTATATTATATTGATACATCTAAATTCATTATAAAGCACAGAAGACTATGTTATAATTTTTTCATTAAACAGTCATGTGTTTTTTTAAAAAAATTAAGAGGACTGTAAGTCATTTATATGTATATATCTAGGTATTTACAATTTCCTATACTCTCATTCCTTCCTAAAGATTTGAGTTTCCCTCTATTACCATTTTACTTCAGCCTGAGGTGTTTCCTTTAGTATTCCTAACAGCATAGGTTGGCTGGTAACAAATTCTTCTAATTTTCTCTTATGTCATAACACGTTTATTTTGCCTTTGAAGGATATTTTTGCTGGATATAGAAATCTATGTTAATTTTTTCCTTCCTGAACCTAAAAAAATATTGTTCTAATATCTTCTGGCCTTCATTTTTTTTTCTGACAGGAAGTCAGCAGTCATTTGATTCATTGCTTACATGTATGTACCATATTTTTCTTGTGGCAGATCAAAAATCTGTCTGCATATTTTTTGATACTCCTTACTTCAAAAGAAGGAGCCTAATTCCCCTCCACTTAAATGGGGTCCAGACTTAGATACTTGATTCTAATAAACAGAATGTGGTGATGCCGTGTGACTTCCAAGACTAGATCATAAAAATATGGTTCAGAACACATACAAAGAGCTTCCATCTGGCGCTCTCTCTCTCTCTCTCTCTCTGTCTCTCTCTGTCTTGTTCTGAGGTAGGCTGGCCACTACATCATGAGGGCACTCAAGCAGTCCTGGTAAAGGGTCCACATGGAGAGAAACTAAGGCTTCCCACCAAACACCAGCACCAATTTGCCAGCTATGTGAATGGTCCACCTTGCAAGCAGACCCTCCAGCTCCAATCACATCCAGCTTCGGATAACATTTGACTACAATGTCATGAAAGTCCCAGATCATAATCTAAGCTGTTCCCAAACTCTTGTCCACAGAAACCGTAAGAAATGATGTTTATTGTTGTTTTAAGCCACTAAATTTGGGGATAATTTGTTATGTAGCAATGGATAACTAATACATTTCCTAACGCAAATGTCTCTGCATATTATATTCACTCTGATTCACCAATGCTTCCATTCATTTTACTCGTATAAAAGAAAAAAAAATTGTAAAATTCAAGATGTACCATGGCTGAAAAAATTGACATATGGAAAATAATTAATTTGTGATAAAACCAATCTATTCTAAAACACCATTTTGTCTTACTGGTTTACTTTCACAGCCTGAGCACTCTGTATAATACTTGGTATATAAATAAGATATTAAATAACTACTGCTGAATGAATGAATGAATTTGTTCTTTCAGGCTTTAAGCTTCTGGAGGGCAATAATTGTGCTTTATTCACCTTTTCAGCTCCCTTACATGGGACAGTGCTTAAATGAACATGCACCGTTCACTGTTTGTTGAATTAAATCAAACTTAACTGAAATTCTTGTTGAAGAAAATGATCTGGAAACAGAAGTGAAAAATCATGGCAGAAAACTAATTTTAAATATTTCTGGACTTCCCTGGTGGTGCAGTGGTTAAGAATCTGCCTGCCAATGCAGGGGACATGGGTTCGAGCCCTGGTCCGGGAAGATCCCACATGCCGTGGAGCAACTAAGCCCGAGCGCCACAACTGCTGAGCCTGTGCTCTAGAGCCCGCGAGCCACAACTACTGAGACCATGTGCCACAACTACTGAAGCCCGCGTGCCTAGAGCCCATGCTCCGCAACAGAAGCCACCGCAATGAGAAGCCAATGCACCGCAACGAAGAGTAGCCCCTGCTCGCCGCAACTAGAGAAAGCCTGTGCGCAGCAACAAAGACCCAATGCAGCCAAAAATAAATAAATAAATTTATATATAAAAAAATATTTCTACTGCACATTGACTGGTGCTGGTTTTCAAGCCCTACCACCTATCACATACATGCATAAAAACCACAAATTTAAAAAACTTAAATATTTATATTCAGTTAGTTCCTAGTAGACCATACGGATTTTCATAATTTCCACCGATAGAACACATCTTCAAATGTTTCTAGAGAATCTTTGTGACAAATATACAATGACAGGTATATGACTGTGCTTAGGTTGTAAACTATTGTAAGGTGGCAGATTGAATTTGGCAGATTATCGGCAGAACTGGTAACCTGCACTGCTCCTTATCCAGTTGAGCCTTAAGCCATCTCCGTAGAGTTGAATTTTATGAGCACAGGGAATTTGAACATTCAGTCATACAACTGAGCAACTTCTTTTCCTCTTTGGGAGGTAGTGTGTATCCAAGGTGTGTCTCAGTGGTTCAGAGCACAAGCCAGACTTCCTAGGTGCAAATCCCAGGCCCACCATCTACCAGTTTTGTGATCTTTGCCTTACAGCTTAACATCTGCCTTAGTTTCCTCACCTGTTAAATACAGAAACTAACGGTGCCTTCCTCACAGGGTTATTGTGAAGATAAAATGGGTTAATATATGAAAAGTGCCTGACACCCAGTAAACACTAATCACAATTAGCTCTTACTGCCCTCAATACCAATCACGGACTTGGAACATTGCAGGTGACTTGTAAATCATTATTAAATGAATGATTAATTCTGGGAGTACTGTATGGACATCTCTGCCCCCTTTCTGGATGGGGGGGAGTAGGTATTTGCATTCTGTGATCACACAAAAATTTTGATTGTTTATTCCTTTTTAGAAATTCTCGATTAGATCCAAAAGAGGAAGCGGATTCTGTTCATTGATAAAGGATGTACAAGTAATATTGGTACCTGATTAAACTGAGCTGGGAATTAGAAAATAACACACTCTGGAGTAAGAGGAATTTTTATTTTTCATTTTAACCCCTTCACAATGTGAAAGTGGCAGAAGGGTGTCAAGTATAGAAAAGAACACGGAGTCTCAGAATCGAAGCGTCTTCTGCATTGTTGGGCTTGTGGAAAGATCATTCTAAGTTTCAAACAGGGCCAAGCTTCTCCCACTTGATTGTGGGCAACACCTGGGATTGGTACGAGGCCTAATCAGACTTTATATCCACGACACCTGTCACAGTGCCTCAGTCGGTAGAAAGCCAGGGAAAAATATTTTACAGGGCTGAAATATTAATAATCGAGGCAACCAGGGCCTCAAACTTTCCATCCGTACCTCAACTTCCACCTACCTGGATGGACCCAAGTCTTCCCTTAGAACGACGTTCCAAGGAGCAAGAAAAAGGGAGCCAGTTGAAACCTCTTCTCGGAGTTATGGGAACCACTTCCTTCGTCTGTTGCTAAGGAGGGAAGAAGGACAGAGATGAGGCCGGGGGAAAGGAGCGCCTCTACACAGCGGAGCAATAGCCCCGTCCCACTTGGCAGTGGTCCCGCCGGTTCCATGAGTTACCCCGCCCCCAATCTCACCCGCCCTCATCTCGCACTTGGAAACAAACCCTTAGCAATACAAGCCTGGAAGCCTGGAACCCGGCGTCTCCGAGATGTCCCTGGGTGACTCCAGCCGCCGCAGAGAGGGAACTTCCCGGGGGCCCCACGGCATCCCAGTTGGCGCCGGGCTCAGGCCCTCAACCCTGCCTCCCTCACGAGGCTTCCCCGGAGGCGGCGAGAGCGTGGCCGGCCCGGAGGAGGCCCCAGCCGCCAGCCCGCTGCTGGAAGACCTCAGGCGGCGGCTGGCGAGCGCCTTCCAGCGGGCGGCGCCGCGCGGCGTCTCGAGGCGCTCGCGGGAGGAGGAGGCGGCGGAGACGGCGCAGGAGGAGCAGAGCCGGGCGCGCGTCGAGAGCGCCCTGGCCGGGCTGCGCGCCGAGCTGGTGAGCCCGCTGGCGGCCGGCTCTCGGGGCCGCCTCTCCTTCGTCCTCTCCCGGGGCCCCCGGCCGCGGGCCGCGCACGCGCCCCACCGAGGGCTTGGGAGGCCGAGCGCCGCTTTTCCCAGGGAGAGGGTGAGGCCGTGCCGCGTGGGCGAGCTGGGCACCGGCCGTCGATCTTCCCGGACCGTGCCGATGCTCCTGCCTCCCAGGCAGCATCCAGGAGGGAAGCGGGGGAGGGGAGGGATCCGGCAGGGCCCGAGGTGCTGGCTGGCTGTCGAGGGCTGAGTCTACTAGTGACACACCCGAGACCTCCGTCACCACCCCTCCCCAACTTGTTCTATATTTTTCTACCACATAGAAAGTTCCCTCTAGGGAACTCATAGTACGTGCATGTTATGGGGCTCGGAGGCGTTAAGTTTCAATGAAATGAAATCACAGGATGGATGGAGCGAGTCCATCAGCAACTGTTTCTTTTATTCTGCAAGTTTTATCTTTCCCCTGGGTAAGAATTCAGAAAACAAAAAATGATAATAAGGTATTTTGTAAAATTGTAGCTTTTTAACATTAGGCAGGAGGAACTGTAGGTAAATATTTTAGTTACTGTTTTGTGATTTAAACAATTTCCAAGTTAGGTACAATTTGAAAGAGACAAAATGAATAAGAGCAATTTAAGCTTTAAAACGGTGCTGCCCATGAATATGTGTAGTGGAGATTTGGAAACTTCTAGTCTTTTGCATTGAATACTAATAAAATGTTAACCACTACTTTAGAACGGATTCAACCATCAGTCAGTTGTCTGATTTAAGAACCTTAACAGTTTATCTTGTTTCTGAGTTTAAGAAGGGCAAGAAGGTAGTCAATTTAATTTTACCTGTGTTAACAATTTGGATTTGACAAGGTATGTATTAATTCTGACCCAGCCATATCGGAGAAACACATGGTTTTCTTCAGATACCTGAGCAGTGGCTGGGCGAGACCCCTCATTAGTAGAGATGGCCTGGAGGGGTGTGCTATGGATGAGGATGCCCGCTGGAAGGCTGAGACCCGGCTTAGTCACCCTGTGCTGCTGACCTGGGGTGTCACCATCCCTCCCATACCTCAGCTGACTCATTTTTTTTTTTTTTTTTTTTGCGGTACACGGGCCCCTCACTGCTGTGGCCTCTCCCGTTGCGGAGCACAGGCTCCGGACGCGCAGGCTCAGCGGCCATGGCTCACGGGCGCAGCCGCTCTGCGGCATGTGGGATCTTCCCGGACCGGGGCACGAACCCGTGTCCCCTGCATCGGCAGGCGGACTCCCAACCACTGCGCCACCAGGGAAGCCCTCAGCTGACTGATTTAAATCAAGTGAAGAAATTACATTCAGTAAGCTCCGAGGCACTTGAACCTTCACATTCTAACTAGTCGTTCCACTAGTAGGAGTTTTAAGCAAGTAATGCACCGGGGGTGGGGAAGAGGTGGAGAATAAAATTCCAAATAGATGAGGGTTCAAATCCCAGCATTAACATTTACAGGCTCTGCTCTCACTGTTCCTGTTACTTTAGGAATGCTAATTAGCAAGTTTGGGTTTCAGCTGTAAAATGGAAATAATAAACTCATAGGATCACTGTAAGTATTGTATGAGTTAATGTTATATAAAGTGCATAGAACACAGACACTACTCAGTGGCTCTTACTGTGTTTTGGTTGTGCCCCCAAAGTGACAGATACATAGGCATGGAAGATCAAGGGTTCTTCTGGAAAGGACACAAAGAATGTCACATATACACAGATGCTGTGTTCCTGAGATTATAGATCATGGTCAACATCTTGGCCAACAATTTCACCATTGTGTGTGACCAGTCATGAAGAAGCAAAAGAATGTGGATCCTCAACACCATCAGCACTAGAAGAAGCCGTTTTTGATAAAGGGCCGTTAGCCAGTTTTCTGTAGGGACTGGCACCTCTCCATACATGTGTGTCCACGCATCATCTGTTAGGGTGGTATTTGCGTAAGGAACGATGAACAGGTTCAGTTAATTTAGAGACATGTTACTATTTATGAAATGTTATTTATGCTGTTATTTGTTGTTTGAATTGGTCTTCTTAGTGGCTTGCGTTGAATTTCAGGGCCTGTGAGTGAATTCCAGGGGTTCTATATGCCTAAAATTGTATGCCAAATTTTGTATGCACATAAAATGCACTTGTTTCCTCAGTGCATAAAATGCACTTCTTTCATAGCTTTCATTAGATTCTCAGTGGGATCCATGAGGAAAGAAAATTAAGGAATCATTGGTGTTTGACTTTCCTAAACAGGTGTGAGTTACACATACTTTGTTTTGCTTAGATGGTGAGCCATTATCAATAATTCAACTGCTTGATTCTTGGCATGAAAGTATAGGATGGGTGATCATCAGTTTCTCCATTTAGTCATTCCTTCACTCAGTCTTTTAACAAACACACAGAGAACCCACCATGTTGCGTGAGCAAGCAGTGCACCCCCAGCTGGGGATACAGTTATGAATAGGAACAAACTGTGCTCAAAATCATCAGTCTAGTGTAGGCTGTGTGCTAGGAGAGGCACATGTACAGAACGCTGTGGAAGCACAGATAAGGCGAGACAGAGAAGGCTTCTAAGAAGAGTTGGCATCTGGCTGAGCTCAACAGGAAGTGGGTGGCAAGGGGCAGAGCGGGCAGAAGATGTGGCTCAGTACGACGTGTTTATTTTGGGATGGGCAAAGTTTCTGACCAGCTGCAGTGGGAGCTGGTGTGGGAAGAGGGCCAGGAAATAAAGCTGGAAGAGTAGGGCAGGTTTATAGGGCGTCCGTTCCACACTGGAGAACAGAAGCTTCCCGTAGGCAAGGTGTCAGGGCTTCTTGTGCTAGTGGTCGTGTTGTTACTGTCTGTTTGCTGGATGTTCATTTACTTTATTCTTTGCAAATTCTTGCTATCAAAGAAATGGTTCCAGGTGCTGAAGAATGAAGAAAAATATGTCAGAGGAAAACTGAAAGACATTTTATCCAGTGACTTTATTTTGCAAATTAGGAGGGGACCGCCCATATTTGCTTTTTACCAGCGGAATGTCCTGGTTCACCCTGGGGTGGTTTCTTTTGGTGAGTTGATGAGGGGTTTTCAGCAGAGAGAACAGGGTTCTCATGAACTGCATTAAACAAGACCCTAATTGAAGAAATATGCAAATAGTTGATTACTAGTTTTCAACTATAATGCAAAGATTATGTTGGACTAAGCTTTTGTCACACTGCCTCTTGCGTACATTGCCCGAGAGATGGATCTATTTCTTAATAAACGAAGACCTTCACAAACTCCCACTGGAGGGAGGGTATAAATCAGCCTTGCTGTATAACCGATTTCACTCTACAGTGAAAATTGTTAGATTCTATAAGTACACACAAAGGGGTCGTTAAATGTTTTGCTCAGCAGGGAGACCATTTAAAATCCTAAAAACTTGAAATGACAAGTAATCAAGTAAATGGGCCCAGGTCCTGAAAGTTCAGGGGGCCCTGAGCAGTTATCCTGTAGCTCAGAAAGCTCATACAGATAAATGATTTCCTCGCAGATCACATGCCATTGCTTGGAAACAGCCTTCTATGCACAGGAATTTTTCAAATGGATGGCTCTGTGCATGAGCTTTTCTTGTTTTCATTGCAAGGCCATTTCGAAAGCTATTTGTATATCTGGATTTTACCTTATCGTAGAGAAAGTCAGTTTTATAGTCAGGCCAAACAGTCAGAACTGGAGAATAAGATGAGAAATACGTCTTTCTTGATATCTTATTTTCCTTTCCTACAAAGTCCTTATTTTTCCTGTGCAGAGAGCAGTTTCATTTGATCCATATCTCAGGCTAATAAAAATCCTTATTTTTTTCTAACTTTTAGCTGGAAATGCATTTCCAGAATTGCCAGCTGGCCAGAACTTTGCTGGATTTAAACATGAAAATGCAGCAATTGAAAAAGTATGAACTGGAAATTGCATCAGAATTGCAAAGCTCGGAAGATAATGTCGTGAATATGGAATGAAGAAACGCACAGAAGAAGATCTGAACCCTAAAAATAACATAGACAGCTCTGAAACAATTCTGACAGTAACATTATGGATGCTTTGTGTAAGACTTTAGGGGCAATTTGTAGGCCAAAAGCTTTGATGCCATGGGGAAGTGACAGAAAACATCTACAAGAGGGGAGAGAAAATGGTATGTTGTCAAGCTTTACAGTTGTGTATTCATTGTTTTGGCTGGGAAATAGAAGTAAAAAGAATGTACTGAAGAATGCCTTAATGCCAATTTCCAGCGTTCTGTCTTGTGCCATCTTAACTTTCTGATGTTATCTGAACTTTCAGAATCTGTGTTTGCTTTTGTTCTACTTGATTATTCTTGGTTTGTCTGCCCAGTTAGCTGTTCAGTAGCCTTTCCTTCCCGTCCTGTCCCCTTTTTGGAGAATTACTCCTGCCTAGATTCCAACCATACCCTTCAGGTAGAGTCTACCATTGAGGGTGTCTCACCTCATTGGATATAGTCACGCAGATCGAGGCAGTTTGATCAACTTGTCCTCAGGAGTTTTTGAACTTGAGCTAAGGGAACAGATGAGTATTAGAAGCTGATGGGAGAAGCTGTGGGACAGAGGGGCTTGGAAGCTGCTGGTGGCCACCATGTGAGAGAATGGAATCTCTAATATAGGAGGTCGAAACAGCACCACTGAGAGCCCAAAAGGGGAGGGAGAGAGCTGCTCTTCCTTGTCTCAGGGGTGCAGCTGCTTAAATCCCCAGCCCTTGCTGTCATCTGGGTACATGAAAATTCTCTAACAGCCTCCTAATACCATCTCCTTTTGCCTGAGTCAATTGAGTTGGAGTTTTATGACTTGTACGCAAGTGGTTCCCAACTAACACAATTCCTTTGTTAAGCTTTTAGGAGTTAAAATGGTTCATGTTGAATTAGAATATCTACCTCTACCTTAAAAGTGGTTCCTTCTTAATGTAAAAAATAAGGTTCATAAAAAAATAGTTGCAGATCTCAGCGATATTCATAATGGTCATTGTCTGTAAAAATAAATATTAATTTATAAAATGTAAGTCATTTGCGTATTTAATTAACAAAAATTAGTTCTGGAAGACAAAGGAGAACAGAATGGACATGGTCTTTCTCTTAAATACAAGTTGTTTTATGTGTGTGAGGGTTTGAGGATTATCTGAACCAAGTTTAGTTTGTCCTTAACTTTTTTTGATCACTCTAAGTGAATTATTTCAGCTCTTTGGTACTTAATTTCTTCCCTCTGTACAACTGAGGTATTACTATGTTCAACTTACAGGACATTGTCAGTGAGCTGTCAGCGATATCCTGATATCTAACCCCTGGATTTCTTGAGAAGTTCTGCATATAAGCCCTTGGCTTATAAACATACAGACTGGTTTCTTAACTTATACTTGTAAAAGAGATTTCCTATAAGTCTCTTCCTCAAAGTTATAGAAATTCTGAGGAAAGAGGCAGTGGAATTCCTGTGATCTGTTCTTCGAAAAAGAGTCTACTCAAATGTTGGAGCAGTCATTCTAAAGTATATTTTACAATTTATTATTTACAAATTCTTGTGATTTTGTGTTTAGCAAATACTCAAGATGATTCATTTCATAAGCTCAATTCCTTACAGAATACAGAGTAGCTGACATTGGTTAGCATTCATGTGAATAATTCAATTCTACTAAAAATGTGCTCTCTTGGGAATCAAAAGAAAGAAACAAAAAGAGAACTTCTGAAAATGGATGCATTATTTTTCCCTTTTTTCAGACAGAAAAAAGTCCACCATTTATCGTAAAGTTTTTGTCACCAGTTTTTTGTCCTATCTTTCAGCGATAAACTTTGGATCACTGTATCTTTTAGGAGTGACAAATGGAGAAACAGAATAAGAAAGTCTTTGTTTGGAAGCCCTCATCGGTGGAGGTGGCCTGTGATATCAGCTGTCGATAGAGAGATACAGTGAGAACTTGATACTTGGGACACTATTGCTATTAAATGTTTTTTGCTTTGTTTCCCCTCATAAAGTGAATTCTGCTCTCATACCATATCCCTCATCTTTTTTTGTTTTTTTTTAAGTAGAAGCCAGACTGTGGGTTTTTGTTTTTTTTTTTGCGACTGCAATCAGCTGTTTTTTTTAGCTTGCTGGATCCTGGTCCTGTCTGCTGCACACAGAAAGAAAACAGGGACTCCCTTCTAAGGGATGTGGGGATGCACTTCCAATGGCTACACTTCTTCACTTTCCAGAGTGTTTAAATAAGCTAGAGCAACAGTGTGACATTTTAAAGAAATACGAGGTGGAAGGGACCAAACTACTGACAGCTGGAGGGGAAAATGAGAAAATAATTATAACCTAAATTATGCAACAGGAAAGCAGTAACTGGATAAGTCGAAGAAAGTAAAATGTTCACCTCAGTAGTGGATAGAGAGGACCAAAGAAGAGAAAATGACAAAAACAGTTTAGCGAGGAAAATATGGCATTTAGGTTTTTCAAAGGATGATTTCTCACAGCTTTAATTATGGGGGGACTAACCATGTTATCAGGGAATGGGCTTTCACTCTATGGTACCTGGTTAGCATCTACCACTGAAGAGGTGCCAAATTAATTATGACAATTAGGAGCTTTGCATAGGTTGTTAGGCTTTACATCCCTTTACAGGTGGCCTGGATGAATCCACGTCTTGTTTGGCTTGCCAAACTACTTCTGCTGTAACAGGTGATTCTGGAGCGCCCAGCCGGGGGACGGATCACAGTCTGATGTGGGTAAACCCGTGATGGCTGAGCCTACACCAGTGGGATGGGATGCACAAGAATCCCATCTCCCCGGTCCCTTCCCAGGCAGGGTACGGGGCCCCACTCCAGCCATCAATCCTGTTTATTTACCACTGTCATCACTGCTGGAGTCCCTCCCGGCCGTGAGTCTGGCACAAGGCCCTCCGGTGCCAGCTGCTTCCTCTCTTTCATTTTTGCTGCTGCCTCTCCTGCCTCTTTGGCTGTATTATTAATGAGGGTTATGGAAGGATTAGAAATATGGGGAGGTTTCGGGTTGAACCTCTGCCACTCTGCCTACCTCTGGGTCTGGCAGCCTCTTGTTTCACCAGGACCAAGGGGGCCGTGCACCATCAGCGCTTCTGGGTCCTGCCTCCAATAAATGCTGGGGCTTACGAGGCTCCACTTCTTCCTTAGGAACCACAGTGCCGCCATCCTTCTCTTCTGGGACCAGTGAAGGGGGGGACCCTTGGAATGTAATGATAAACCAGCAATGACATTGAGCCACCTCTCCTGTGCCCCGTGTTGGGCCAAGAATGCCACGTGTGTTAGCTTACTTAATCCCATGATGATTCGTATGCACGTAGAACATGGTTTTGAGGTCATCTGGCCTTCGTATTTAGTCCTGGCCTGGCCACTTGCCAGCTTTATAACCTAAATCAAATTGCTTCAATCTCTTTAGATGTATCTAAAGAAGCTAGTCAAAATGGTACCCGTCTTATTGAAATCTTGAGGAGCCCAAGCTGAAGAACCACGAAGCAGGTTTGGGAGACAGAGTTCGTGGTGAAGGCTCTTCTACTTTCTGTGTGTTTCTTTTACATCTTCAGTTCTATGTGATCTCACTACCCTTTTGGACTCAGACCTTTCCTGTGCCTGCTTCTTTCTTCATCACGTCTTTATGTCTCTCTAACGTTCTGCCACCTGCTCTCTGTTGTGATGTTGACTCTTCCGCTGGTTGATAAATTGATTTACTCAACTTGAGAGGAGGCACCAGGGAGATATGAAATGGCCAATAACTGCTACTTACCAACCGCTGAATCTGCCTGGCACACAGTGCCATGTGCGTTTAAAACTCGATCATCCCAGCAACACTGTGAGGTTGGAACTATTGCTTTTTCCATTTTATCAAGGAGGAAATGATCATCAGAGGGGCCATGCGAGTGGAGCTGTCAAGATTCTTGTCCAGAGCTGAGAGTAGTCGGGCTTTTGAGACGCACCCAAGGTAATCAGGGAGACCCAGACGTAAGTGAATAAATTTGATATTATAACAGAAAGTGTTAACAGAAGCCTGTATGAAGCACTAGGGATGCTTTCTAAAAGGGTCAGACAAAGAAGGCTTCCTTGGGGACCTGACCCCGGAAAAAAGCCCTCGTTTTGTGCCTCACATTCTACATAGACAAGTTGGGTGATCTGGAATACATTACTCCACTCTATTTGGGCCTCATTTCACTCATTTGAAAATGAGAGAGAGAGTGGAGCGGCCTCTAAAACATTCCTCTAACTTGGAAACTCTATTCTCCTCCAATCCTGCCTGCTTGTAACTGGACTCTCCATCACTCACCTCTGACTTGCCCAGATGTCCTGACACCTGTGATGGTGCAGTGGGCCGCTGACTGTTTATCACTGGCCCTTGGCCGTGAGTTGTACTCTCCTGGTCCCAGCCCTGGCCCCAACCATGGCCCTGGCTGTTGATGCCGCCTTGATGATGATGAAAAGCAATTCTTGTCACTCCTGGATGCCTCTCTGCTCTTCTCACCCACACCGTGACTGCAGCCAGGGGAAAATGTCACATTTGCACTTCCCAAGGAGATAAGCATGGCTCAGACCTTTTACGTGTTAGACTTTTGGAAGCAGCCTGGCCGATTGCCTGCCGAGGCGGTCACTGCAGGCTGAGAGCAGTGTAATATGTAGTTAGCAGTGCAGCCTCCGGAGTCTGGCGATGGAGTTGGAATCCTGGCTCCTTCACTGCCTCACTATGTTATTATCGCTGAAGTTCAGTTTGCTTCTGTGTAAAGTAATATTATAATAATCACACCTACCCACCCCAGGGACTTGCTGTGAGGATCTAATGGATTAATGTATGTTAAGTGTTTAGAATGCTCTCAAGTAGTGTTTAATATTCTGACAGCCCATCTAACAAACATTTTGCTCATCCTTCTTGTCTATTGGAAGCACCCGATTCCAGGAGACATTGAGAATGACAGCTTCACTTTTCTCAGCCCTTCTGGGAGCTCAGAATGGCCATAGAATCCAGTTTTGTCCACTAAGACATAAGAGAAGTTTGCTGGGGTTTTTCTGAGAAACATTTTCTTTTCCTACAAAAGGAGAAAGAGGAGGTAAGCTCTCTTCTTTCTTGCTTAGGAACACTGTCACATGAGGTTGTAAAGCTTGCACCTGCTGCAGACACCCTGTGACCAAGGTAGGAGATGCACGGACACTCTGAGGATGGGAAGACAGAGAGATGAAGAGAAGTAATGTCGCTGATGGCAACACTGAGCTCCTGAGCCAACCCTGAGACTGCCTACCTATGGCTAGTCTTGTTCTCTAAGGAACAACAGTAATAAAACTCAATTGTTTAAGCCACTTTTATTTAAGTATTTAGTTCCATGCACCCAACGAAGCATCACTAACTGACACACTTGAACCCCGACAACCTCCTGGGATGAAGGTTCAGGATGATGCATTGTCTGATTGCAACTGTGGATATTAGAAACTATAGGCAAAGGACTCCAGAAAGTTCATTTTGTCACTTAGGAGCCATCTAACGCAACAGGAGACCAATCAAAGCATATTGGAGGGAAATGTATCTGAGAGAAAGCCCCTGTTGAACCCTGTGG